GTAGAGTTGCTGTTACCTACTGTATAAATGGTGCTATTGCCACTTGTTATTGTAATTTCCGTGTGATGTAGAGTTGATGCTACCTTCTGTATAAGTGGTGCTTTTGCCACTTGTTATTGTGATTTCCGTGTGACGTAGAGTTGATGCTACCTACTGTATAACTGGTGCTATTGCCACTTGCTATTGTGATTCCTGTGTGATGTAGAGTTGCTGCTACCTGCTGTATAAATGGTGCTATTGCCACTTGTGATTGTGATTTCTGTGTGATGTAGAGTTGATGCTACCTCCTGTATCAGTGGTGCTTTTGCCACTTGCTATTGTGATTGCCGTGTGATGTAGAGTTGCTGCTACCTACTGTATAAATGGTGCTATTGCCACTTGCTTTTGTGATTTCTGTGTGATGTAGGGTTGATGCTACCTACTGTATAAATGGTGCTATTGCCATTTGCTATTGTGATTTCCGTGTGATGTAGAGTTGATGCTACCTACTGTGTAAATGGTGCTATTGCCACTTGCTTTTGGGATTTCTGTGTGATGTAGGGTTGATGCTACCTACTGTATATATGGTGCTATTGCCACTTGTTATTGTGCTTTCCGTGTGATGTAGAGTTGATTCTACCTACTGTATAAATGGGGCTATTGCCACTTGTTATTGTGATTTCCGTGTGATGTAGAGTTGAAGCTATCTTAGTAGACAAGCTAGAGTATATCTCACAGTATTTAATTTCTTAGTTTTGCTAAGGTAGAGAGTCCAAGAAATGTTTTATACCGCCAATGAAAAAGATTTCCAATTTGTTTGGCATTTGTTTGACCTGAAGCTGTTGAAACAAAAGTAATAACTGTATATTATATTATTTCCTTTTTTTAAATCATCAAACCATGGGAATTCAATATCAGACCTTTTGAATATATGGCATGTACATGTAGCTTGTCCAATATGCTACCGGTCATGGTATTAATTATGTGGGGGCCACGGTGGCCAAGTGGTTAAGATGTCTGACATTCTGCTACCACTAGCCCTCCACCACTGGGTCGCGGGTTCTAGACCCATGTTGGGCAGTCACCAGGTACTTGCAGTAGGTCAGTGGTTTTTCTCCGGGAATTCCAGCTTTAATCCACCACCAAAACTGGCACGTCCTTAAATGACCATAGCTGTCAATAGGACATAAAACACACAAAAAAAAACAAATTTAATCATGTCAGGTGTTTTTTTTTGCATCATAAAATCTACATATTTATATAGTCACCTGGACATCTTAATGTTGAATAGTAGAGAATCTAGTTCACGTGGATTTTGGATTAATGAGTACTGTATATACTATATTTCATAGATTTTCAACATTCTTTAGCCTAAGCTACTTCTGTCATTATACCCCCGCAACAAAGTTGCGGGGGTATAATGCGGGCTTGGAGTTATGCCCCTTTGCATGAATGATCGGTATTTTGTGTAGTTAACTTAAGCTCTGGCCTTTTTTGGGGGGATTTCGACCATTTTTGGTGGAGTTATGCGCCTTTGTGCGAAATACTTGTTACTGGTGGGAGACTATATTGCTTTGCCTTAGTAAGCCTTTAGCTTACAGGTCTGGTTTATATAGAAGCAGGGGTATTAGTTAGCCTTTAAAGGCCTCACACAACTAAATAATTTACTATATGTTATTACCAAACATTTTAGCTAATAACTTTAATATTTGAAGTTCAAGACTAGTGACAACTGTCTAGATTCATAAATACTGCATATCTTGCAAAGGCTACAAAATGACTTTTTTGGTAGGTTTAGTGGCATATTGGAGTGTCACAGCGCCAAGAAGTTGACAACCGGAAGTTTACAAGCAAAACCGGTGACCCAAAACAGAAACGCCCCCAGACATTTTGCCCCTGTGCAAATCCGCACACAGACATGGAAATACATGTATATCAAAAGTATATATTTTTCAAAAGTTAAATACCTGAACATTTCATTTATCTAACAACCTGTCATCAGTTCCTTATTAAACTCCTTCAGTGGCCCAGTAATTAGCCGGAACTTATTTTAGATAGGAACTACAAACGTATGAAATACTTGCTGATTGGCTGATTTAGTTGTGTGAGTCCTTTTTTAGCTAACAGTTCTAGTTAAGGACAGTCCTGGAAAATGGAGACACAACCAACTATTTGTTGGGCAAATTTTACCAGTGGTTTTGGGAACACTCCTATTTAGTCTCCCAGATCTGTTTACCCGGTATACTGCACAGTAGAGATCTAAAGCAAGATTAGCTGTTGATTGCAGTGGTTTGTGTGGCATTCTCCCTAACATAGATTAATTAATCAATTGAAATAATCATAGGAGAGTCCTGATTGATTAATGCCGGGTCGGTTAGAAATGACTTTGATGTTGGGCATACGTATAGAGCCGCTGGTTATATTTCATTTTATATATAGCATCTGACATCCTTGATCAGACATTTCACAGCTGACAGCGACTGGCAGGAATATTGATGTACCCGTCACACCGTGTCACAAAAACACGGGCGGCAGTCACTTCTATAACTACAGCGTCACACTCCCCGGTGACGTCAAGCTTTAAAGGTGTAAATTAGGTATGTAATGATCGGTACAGGATACGGAGGATTATGTGAAAGTCACCGGGACGACGCCCTGGTCAACATGAGCTTATCAAATATCGATGAATAAAAACATATATGTATATCAGTGCTGATCTTGTTGCTAGGACAGAACAAACACGGGACAACAGATCTATTTCTCTTGAATGCTTGAGTTTATTGATTCTCTTAAACTAATACACTGCCCGAGATCAGACTTTACATAATCTGTAGACCGTTCAATATCCGTCATAACTAACCTTCAATCTGGCTTAGTAGATGACAAAATGTATACCCCCGCAATGAAGATAGTAACGTACCCCTGCAATGAAGATAGTAACGTACCCCCGCAATAAAGATAGTAACGTCGGTACCCCCGCAATGAAGATAGTAACATACTCCCGCAATGAAGATAGTAACGTACTTCCGCAATGAAGATAGTAACGTACCCCCGCAATAAAGATAGTAACGTACCCCCGCAATGAAGATAGTAACATACTCCCGCAATGAAGATAGTAACGTACTTCCGCAATGAAGATAGTAACGTACCCCTGCAATGAAGATAGTAACGTACCCCCGCAATGAAGAAAAATATGTACCCCCTCAATGAAGATAGTAATGTACCCTCGCAATGAAGAGAAATATGTACCCCCGCAATGAAGATAAATACGTACCCCTGTAATGAAGATAGTTGGGGAGGGGAGGTAGACAGGGGAATCAATATGTTTGTCAAGACTGCTTTTCCCAAATGAATTTGATTATATATTACCAATTCGTACATATTTTATACCTTTGTGAACAAACGCTTGTCCTTTGTCGGATGAAGGTGACAGGGTACGTTACACACTAGTCACCGAAACGTCACACGACTATATATGACATCTTGGTGAGATTTTGTATTTAGCTCCATTTCTCTGATCTCTGATGCTTCAAGCCCCACACTCTTTGAACTTTATGGAACAACAACTTTAAATGACATGAGGTCACTGTAATCTTTATTTCCTGCTTCACTCACTTTGATGGTGATAAACCTTGCTTTTAGCTCCGTTTTCATCAAACTGGGTGCAGGGCCATACTTCACCAGCACGTTCTGTTTGATCATTATATTGTAAAATGTATCTCCAATATTGAACTGTTAAATACATATCACAATTTTAGCATTATCCAGTTCTAAATACAATAGAACCCATTCTTTGTTCTTTAAACAGGTACCGTACTGATCGATGTACTTGTATATATAGCCTGGCGTGATACAAAACCAGAAAGTTCAAGCACTCTATCTGATATCGGCACCATTGTGACATAGGCTCTAACTCACACAGCTGAATGTTCGTTTTCAATGGCACTTTTATTGACTCTGATGTGACGACAGATTATATTCCATGAACAAGGCAAGCAGTTATGTCTGCTGCAGCAATTTATTCTCTGATGTAAATCTGTCAACCTGTGACGTTTGTTTCGTGTGTAGGTCTTTATGTTTATTTCGAAGAGCAGGAAGAATATTTACATGAATGCTACATTATATGTCTGATATTTTCATCCTAGTTGCTAGGAGATGACAGAGCTTCCTGCATTATTTTGAAATATCGCAGGCTGTAATATCAATCGTGTTGAATAAAACATGATTTAATGTCAGTAAATTAGGTTTTGTTCCTTTGTCATAACTTGATGGATGACAATGATGATTATGATGTCATACATGATCACGAAATTTGAAATATCAAGTAAAACAAAAGAATAGATAAATGTCACCCTCCTTTGGATGTTGATATTGAAGCATCTGTGCCTGAGACACCTTGCCAATATATTGATCATTAGATGTATGGTCTTACTTACTACAGCAAGTGTTTCTCTTGCTTCTTACATTTTTAAATATGAGTTTGGGAGAGCTTTAAAGGGAGTCTATAGTAAAAAAACAAGTTGCGTTGAATTGATCAAAACAGCAATAGCTTGTGCGTCAGTATACTGACTTAAAGATGGCCTACAATGTGTATTGATCAAGTGATTCCTGCTGAAAATTTTAGAAAATATGTATTGATAAATTGTACACTTCATGCACTGTAAAATAAGAATAAGAGAGAGTATCGTTTCCTTTGTTTAGTTTTGGCCCTGGGGTATTTTTATACAAATTTGTCTTCTGTTGAATTTGCCATCCCATTAAAGATGGCACCCCCCTAATTTAATTTTGAAATACTAATTTTTGAAAAGTTCAGAGCGCTATTGAAGAAGCCATCAAGTTGGAAACATTGAAAATGGGCGAAGTATACATTTTGATCAATTTGAGATTGAAATAATTCTCATAACACATTCACATGACATATTTGCCATTTTATCTCAGACAAGTTTGATAAAGTGTGTAAAAACAAATTTAAACAAACGAAATAGAAATACGCCACTAATGATATTTTTATATTGTTTCAGGCTACAATTGTTCATTGTTCGCCTATGGCCAGACAGGCTCCGGAAAGTCCTACTCCATGGTCGGATATGGTGCGAATCGGTAAGGCAGTCATTGAAAATTTGTGTATTAATTAACATTTTATAAAAACTTGATTTGTATCCAGGCCATTGGTTATAAAATATGAACACTTACATGTTTTTGATAGTTATGCCTTTCTTTGTTTCATAACCCATGTGTAATGGATGCCAACGTGGGTGGGCCTATTACCAGTCATAGGCTTATTGCCAGATAAATAATGTTATCAGAAGTGTTCATTGTTGAAGTAAAACCCTAAATAATCGTAACACCTGTACAATACACCCTTCCATTAAGTCTCACTGTGCAAATTTCTCCATGTAAAGTTAAGCAGTTTTACCGTATTTGACCTCAAATAAGCCCTCGCTCGCAAATAAGCCCCCTTCCCCACTTTGGCAAACGTCCTGGGAACAGGGTAGGTGCCTGCCATTAAGCACCATCCCTAATTTTGTCTCTCTTAAAAAATGTATGTGAATTTTGTTTATGAACAAAAGCGAATTAGCAAACTGGATGCAGTAAAAAATTAACCCAAGTTAAAATTTTACGAATAATCATGTCACTGAATTGCACAACAGTAAATACTATGTAGTGACCTGTACTCTACTGTGATTCTGTATTGGTTTTTAAGAAAGGATTTTGTAATTATGTATTCATTAAATAACTAAGGATGAATGGTATAACAAATTATAATGGAATATGATGTAAACATAACAAAATGTCAAGTTATCTAGATGGCTGAACTTAGAACAAAATAGCATTCTGCTGCTGAAAGAACACCATGCTTTCTTTCATATATTTAATTAACTGTCTATTCTGACTGAGAAGGTTTTAGTGTGTTTGTCATTTGCTTTAGACAGGTTTCACTTTATATTTTCCATGTTAACACATATCTGATGTTTTTCTTCAGGGGCATTGTACCTATTACCTGTGATGAGTTATTTAAAACCATGGCAACAAATGCAGATGCAAATAAGGTAAAAGGTCCTATTAATAGCCCACATCCTTACATGACCTAAGCTGTTAATAGGATGTTAAATAAAATAAAACCAAACCAAACCTATTACAAGGTAAATTTATTTAATCATGATTTGCTGATGGTTTTCAAAATTACGAAGACGATAAAAGATTATTTAATAAAGTAATTTCTATCATTTCTGTGTGTGTAAGATAGAGCTGTCCAGGATAATAAAGTAATTTCTATCATTTCTGTGTGTGTAAGATAGAGCTGTCCAGGATAATAAAGTAATTTCTATCATTTCTGTGTGTGTAAGATGGAGCTGTCCAGGATAATAAAGTAGTTTCTATCATTTCTGTGTGTGTAAGATAGAGCTGTCCAGGATAATAAAGGGGCATAAGAAAATTTCTATCTTGCACAACATTTTACTTGACGTGACGTCACAATGGCTCAACAATGACGTCACAAATTTCGATGCCGCAATGCGGATTAGGCGATGTAATGAAATTAAAACCTTTTAGGATATATTACGTCTGCGTATTGCAGACTTATTTTCTCTTGTGAGCAGGTATTGATTGTTACGTCATTGGTTTGTGAGAGTAACGTCATCAATTTTTGAGAAAACGACGTAATTTTCTCACACAAACCAATGACGTAACAATCAATAACTTATCCCAAGAGAAGATAACTCTGCAATACGCAAAGACGGAATTGACAGTACACATAAGAAATATGAGATTAATTTGTCTGCGCAAAATATATGGTATGCTTAATCTCACTGACAGATTCGTTTTTTGTCAAAAAAGCTAAGGGGAAAAGTTGATATTTTCAAAATGTAGCCAGTCCAAACAGATTTTCATGGTTTCTGAGCTTATTCTGGTAGTTTGAATGAGAGAAAACTACTCTTTCATGTCCATGGGTGTAGGATAAGGAAATTCCACCCTCAGGATTTTTAAATTTGGCAAAACCTTTTTGGCAAAGCCTCGGGTTTTACCAAATTTGAAACCCTTCGAGTGGAATTTCCCTATTCTACACCCCTGGACTTGAAAGAGCCTTATAATATTGTAATAAGTGTTGTTATAATCATATTTTTTGTATGTCCAATACTTAATTGTATGTCATTCTTAAACAGATCACAAAATCTTAACACAAACAGTTATAATTTATAATAATTTTTCACCATTTAACTCATTCACCTCTGAAGACACATTTGAACTCTTCCAATTCAAAGGTTGGAATAGTTCATTATGAAGTTTTAGGGGTGGATGAGTTCAAAGGCATACATGGAATCATATATAGAAGTTGTTAAGAGTTGTCTTCCTTGTATTTTCAGAGGTTTGAGGTGACGTTTTCCATGTTGGAGATTTACAATGAACAGGTGCGGGATCTCTTGTCTCGTGAAAATCCAAAGGGAGGGCTTCAGGTCCGACAAAACCCCAAACTAGGCTATTTCTACGTGGAAGGCCTAAAGAAAGTCCCTGTAGGCAGCTATGCAGAAATTGAAAAGAGAATGGACCAAGGTTTGTATATGAAACAAATTAATCTTATTCTCATAGATATATAAGTAAATTTCCAACAGAGGATGTAATTATATAACTATCAGAATAGATATCATTGTAAAATAAATGATGTCTTTACTTTTGTGGTAAAATGGCTGTTACCGGCTTCAAGAAGAGGAAATAATTTTGCAGCAACGATCAACTGTCGCATCGATATTACAACATGTTACGTTGTAAAAGAGTGTTTTATATGGAATTCAGAAGAATTTCAGAAGAAAATACATCTAACCATAGTGACTACAAGTAGTGAAGTTACATTTTTATGAGGTTTTTAATTTAAAACTTCTTTTTAATCATAAAAAGTAACACTGATAAAAGACAGGATCACATAGTGTCTTAGATCAATGGTGACAGCTTTCATTTCTGGATATAAAGGAAATCGTCCTGACAGTTGCTCACCCTCCAGAGTACCTTGATTTAAAGGAAATCGTCCTGACAGTTGCTCACCCTCCAGAGTACCTTGATTTAAAGGAAATCGTCCTGACAGTTGCTCACCCTCCAGAATACCTTGTTTTAAAGGAAATCGTCCTGACAGTTGCTCACCCTCCAGAGTACCTTGATTTAAAGGAAATCGTCCTGACAGTTGCTCACCCTCCAGAGTACCTTGTTTCGTCTCCAATTAAATGTCGACACTCCTGATGCCTCTCCATTGTTTTGATACGTCTTTAGTTACTGCTGCTGCTAGATTTTGTACTTCACGTGTGATGACGTGAATTCAGATTTTGTATTTCACTTTTGGGAACATCGGTAGCTGCAGTGATCGCTAACATGCACAGTCATTTCTACTGTGTGCAATTAAGCATGAGCTTCAGAACACTCACTCTCTCAAGAAGTTCGGTTCAATCCCCAGCGGTGGTAAAAAAAGAGAGTGATGTCTAATAGGGTTAACTGTTATCCCTCTGATGATCGACACAGTGGTATTACCCTGCGAGTTTTCCTCCACCACGAAAACGTCATTTGTTCCCTTAGCGTCGTCGTATAGAAGCTATACAGAGCTTAAATTTGTTATTGACAATGTACATGATGTTAAATAAGATTATTTATTTATTTATATTTATTTGTGATGACCTGAATTCAGATTTTGTACTCGACATATGATGACACAGTGTTCCATTTGTTTGTATTCTAATTTTCTGACTTACAGGTACGGCCAGTCGTACGGTTGCCTCCACAAACATGAATGCCACAAGTAGTCGTGCTCACACCGTCGTCTCCATCACATTCGATCAAATCATTAAGAGCGAGGTGGGCTCGGAAACCAAGAAAAGCAGTGTAATGAACCTCGTTGATTTGGCCGGTAAGTAAGAAGGCAACACTTTGTAAGTAAATACAGCGTAAACTTTTGTTTGTCCGGCAATCTCCTCCTACATTTTTGACCAATCTTTTTGAAACTTGGTATACATTATAATCATGATATGAAGTTGTGTCTCCTTAAAAGAATTTTTATTCAACAATTTTTCCAAAAGTTATTGCCCTTTGTTCATTTCAGTATTTGATTTTTTTCCCGAAGATCTCCTCCTACATTTTTTGACAGATTTCTTTGAAACTTAGTAGGCTGCATAATCATGGTATGTTGTTGTGTTTCTTAGAAAAAAAGAATTTTAATTTGGCAATTTTTGCAAAAGGTATTGCCCTTTGTTTATTTCAGTATTTGATTTTTGTCCAGCATTCTCCTCCTACATTTTTCAACGGATCTCTTTGAAACTTGGTATACATTATAATGTTGTGTCTCCCTTAAAAGAATTTTTGATTCCACTATTTTTGCAAAAGTTATTGCCCTTTGTTCATTTCAGTATTTGATTTTTTTTGTCCAGAGATTTTCTCCGACATTTTTTATAGCATGTCAGTTAACCACTATTAGAATGATGCAGATCTTATTTCAATGTAAGAAAGTATATAACACTATATGGTATTCGATGGGCGTATATTGTTCCGCCTCGCGGTACTCTTGTTTAAAAATACAAAGATAAGATTTGTGAACCACAGGATTTACTATATATATGTGCTTTACATGTGACAGGGTCTGAGCGAGCAGATAGCACAGGAGCAACAGGTGACCGACTCAAGGAGGGTGCCAACATCAACAAATCTTTGTCTGCACTGGGTAACGTTATATCAGCATTAGCAGACCTATCCACGGGCTCCAAGAAGAAAATTGTGGTCCCTTACAGAGATTCTGTACTCACAAAGCTGCTACAGAATGCCCTGGGTGGTAACAGGTGAGTACCCAGATCATGTTGGTCTGTACTTGCCAGACTACTGGATAATAGGAGACACGGTAGTCTAGTGGCAGGGAGCTGGGCTGATGACCGAAGGGTTGCAGGTTCGCGGCACGGCACTGTGTTGTAGTCTTGAGCAAGATACTTTACTCTGCTTGTTCCAGTTTACCAGCTGTTAGCACTGAAATGGCAGCACCGGCTGTATGCTCCCCAGGGAGTTGAGAAAGATATTGGCTGGTTGCAAATTAAGGCCCTATAACCAAGGATGATAATTTGTGAACCGCTTTGAGACGACGTACTAACAAGGTTGTGATAAAGCGGTATATAAGAACCTCAAATTATTATTATTATTATCATTATTATAATGTTTCCAGAGAATTTATATTGTCCATCCACATAAGTACAGTCAAATTTCGATGTTTCGAACTTCGTGGGACCATCAGGAAAAAATTTGAAACATCAGGACTTCAATTCATAAATATTGAACATTGAACATCGAGATCGTGTGCATAAGAGTGTGATCATTATGTGACGAAACAGAAGCTAATAAATTAAATTTTATTACTGTATAAATTAAACATTTACAGAAATAAAAAAAGCATGTTTATTTACACCCTGTAGTTTGCATTCTGATCTTATCAAATCAAACATTTCTTTGTTTGTCAATTAAAGTTCCGAAGCCTGTGCCCAGTGTTGATGTGGTCCATCACGTTAGGCATGTTGCTCAGAGTGATTCTAGTTGGCCTATTGTTTTTAAAAAAAAGAATATGACAACCAATTTTAAATTTGACTCATAAAAGTTTGATTAATAAATAAAATATTAGGATATTGTTATACTGTATAAGGTAAAAAGATCTGGACTTTGCTGTTCAACACATCAAGAAATTTGAATCTTCTAAGTTCGATTTATGGAAGTTTGACTGTATTTATATTTTACATCTGCCTATATACAGCTTCTCAATTCTAGAAGTCGTTAAACTTCATTTGTGGATACACCTTGAAGACTACTACAGCAAAACCAAATGTAGGTCACTGCGACCTATGTATTTTTAGATTTACATTTAGTTCCATGATCTTAATATTAGAAGACCAACATTCATCAAACTTCACTTATGGATACTTTTTGTAGAGTGTTACAGTAATGTATCAAATAAAGATGACTGTGACCTATATTTTGTACTTACTGACTATGATGAACTCTCCTTTTTGGCTCTATTTTTTTCTAATTTAAGTATCCACTTATTCTTTTATACTATGAGTATTAGGTATAATGCTTACATGTTTTTATCTCTACAGTAAAACGATAATGATAGCTGCATTGTCCCCGGCTGACATAAATTATGACGAGACGTTGTCAACGCTACGCTACGCAGATCGGGCAAAGAAGATCAAGAACAAGGCGGTCATCAATGAGAACCCTATGGACAAAATTATCAGAGAACTCAAGGTAGGCATAGCCGTGGTAGTATCACTGTGGGGACAGATGATTCCATTTTGAATTTTTAAAAAGTTCATTTACAGTTAAACGTGTTTAATCTAGTCACCAATGTTGTTTCCCAGTATACCTGTATACCTGTTGTATACCTGTTGTATACCTGCTGTATACCTGTTGTATACCTGCTGTATACCTATTGTATACCTGTTGTATACCTGTTGTATTCCTGCTGTATACCTGTTTTATACCTGTTGTATACCTGTTGTATACCTGTTGTATTCCTGCTGTATACCTGTTGTATACCTGTTTTATACCTGTTGTATACCTGTTGTATACCTGCTGTATACCTGCTGTATACATGTTGTATACCTGTTGTATACCTGTTGTATACCTGCTGTATACCTGTTGTATACAACAGGTATACAGTAGGAATACAACAGGTATACAGCGGGTCTACAACAGGTATACAACATGTATACAACAGGTATACAGCGGGTCTACAACAGGTATACAGCAGGTATGCAACAGGTATACAACAGGAACACAACAGGTATACAACAGGAATACAATAGGTATACAGCAGGAATACAACAGGAATAAAACAGGTATACAACATGTATATACAACAGGTATACAACAGGTCTGCAGCAGGTATACAACAGGTCTACAACAGGTATACAACATGTATACAGCAGGTATACACCAGGTATAAAACATGTATACAGCAGGTATACAGCAGGAATAAAACAGGAATACAACAGGTATACAGCGGGTATACAACAGGTATACATCAGGTATACAACAGGTATAAAACCGGTATACAACAGGTATACAGCGGGTATACAACAGGTATACACCAGGTATACAACAGGAATACCTGTTTTATACCTGTTGTATTCCTGTTTTATTCCTGTTGTATACCTGGTGTATACCTGTTGTATACCTGCTGTATACCTGTTGTATACCTGTTTTATACCTGTTTCTATATTACAGGAGGAGAATGACCGGTTAAAGAAGGCTATGGAGTCTGGTGGGATGATTGAAGGATCAGCGGGGATGAGTCCAGAAGGTTTAATGCATTATATTTACCATATTTCATCTGATAAGCACCCTGGACTCTTAGCAATATGGGAATATTAGAACGACTTCAGAACCTTCTGAAACTCATAGAATAAACATAATAGACCATTCTCTTTTGCATACTGTATATAGAGAAATATTCACCCTTAGATGATAAAATCCATTTTCGACCAATATTAAATTTGCCCTTCACATTTAATTACTGCGTATATTATGTTCTTTACCGATGTTTGCTGTAATGATAAGTTTGCCCTTATTACGGAGGGCGAAAAAGGTGAACATTAAATTGGAGCGAACATTTCTCTGTGTACAGTAAGTCAGTAAATCTTATTAAAGGGACACTTGGATTATAAAAACAACAAGGGATGTTTATAAAACATTACTTTTTATTAAGATTACATATCGTACAGTTACCTTTTGGCATTGTTCTCAGATGGTGTTAAGTCATCGTTAAAAGGTTAAAAATGTTTAGGTCTATCGATGACAAAGATATCATTTAGTTTAACCTTCTTAATTAACTCATTTACACCTGAAGACACATTTGAACTCTTTCAATTCAAAGGTTTGAATAGTTCATTATGAAATTTCAGGGGTGAATGAGTTATAAAGAGATTCAGTCACAAATTCAAAAATATCACAAAATTTTATCCAGAAACATTTACACAAATGAAACATGACAGGTATTGCCATCTTCATGAGTTCAAGTCCACAGTTTTAGAAATAATTCCCAAAGATTAGATGATATACAGAACTAAAGATTATTGTGCGTGGTAACAGAGCTGACACGAATGAAGAAAGAGATGGAGGAAGAGATCCGCTCCCAGCTAATGGCTAACCAGGCCATGCTGATGGAGAATGATTCTAAGGAAGACTGGGACGCCAAGGTAAGAGAATGTAGGACTGAGACTAAAGGGATATGTTGTGTATCATAATGTCATAGCTGTCAACCCTCCCTCATTAGGAGGGAGACTCCCTCATTTACCAATCCCCCTCAATACTCCCTCATTCAAGTCCAAACTCGCACAAAATCAAAATCTCCTTCCTGTGGTCAAATTATCTCCTAGTTACTACAGGGTGTGTGTAATGATCATAACATTGTGTGTCTGAATCAAATTAATGTTTTTTGGAGTTATTTTGATGCATAAAAAGGGAAAGATTTGTTTCACTCACTTTCTCCCTCATTTTCATGAATTGATGTCAAATAAAGGGAATAACCAGACTATATGTCTTTTAAAGTGAATAGTATATACTTTCTGAACCTTCATACACATAATCTATATTTTTTTGCTAACATGATAGCTCAGGTGAGCTTGCAAGACACTTTCATACCCAGGGGTGTAGGATAGGGAAATGCCACCTATTTTCATTCAGAATTGACCATGTATGTAAGTTAATATTATGTGTTTACTTGTGTCCAGTTAAGAGCTGCTCAGTCGGAAACAGATGAATTGAAGGGTGCAGTGTCCCAAAACAAACGGAGATCCCAGGAACCCTACCTGATCAACCTGAACGAGGACCCGATGTTGTCAGGTGTCATCTGTCACTTCCTCGACACAGAAAAGACAACAGTCGGCCGAAAGGATGCCCAGCCCCTACCGGATGTGTGCCTCAGTGGTCTGAGTATTCAAAAACTACATGCAGTAATAACTAACAAAAATGGTAACATTGAAATTAAACCCGCTCCAGGGAGTGCTTCGAAAACCAAGGTGAACGGCCTTCCCCTCAACGACACAAAGGTGCTCTCCCATAAGGACAGAATTTTGTTTGGTAAGTGACTTACAACATGACCTACATACTCCAAGAAAGAAAAAACTGTTTAGTGCATGACTTTGACATAACAAAATAATGCAAGGTAAAGGGTTGCTCCAACAGTGTTAGAGGTTTACACAGCGAGATACTTTTGACAGGGGCCGTGTAACCTCTAACTGCCCATAGCTGATTTTCCCCATTCTGACGATAAAAAATTTCAAAGTTTGGATTTAGAAAAAGTGTATCTTGTTTACATACATTTAAATGATCAACAGGGTCCAATACATATTCCTTTCCATAAATCCATGATTAAATGAGAAGAATTTTGTGTCAGAGACAGAAATAATGAGTTATATCTCTTTTGAAGAGAAGCAGACAACATTTGCTGTGATTTTTGTGGAACGCACAAACTCTGTATCATGATGGAAAAATTTTAACATTGAAAGTTACTTGATTGGAGAAGTTACTCTAACCTAGAACAAACACCTTTTGGTTACTTTATCTTCTCTTTGTATAAGGGTGGCTACTTCAAGAGAAAACAAGAAAAATTGAGTAGAACTCTTCTTTGAGATTATAACCGCTACATTAACAGTTGGTGTCAGTATGCGCCCTGACATCTGTAGTCTGTACAGGATATTTTAGAAGTTCATGGCTTCCTTTTGATTTTAGGGTCTAACCATATGTATGTCATAATGAACCCAAAACGGACAGACACGGCTGACAAAAACTTACCCAACGTCATCGACTGGGAATTCGCTCAGAAGGAAATCGCTGAAATAAAGGGATTTGCTACACATTCCTTGGGCCTGACAAAAGGTAGGTTAACCATCCGCATGCAACGCCAAGAGGGAAATAATGTCGAGAGAAAATAACTAATGACAGCCTTGTTAAGGGGTGGTAACAGAGTTCTGTTTTCGTGATGTGGTCCTAACCCTTGGTAGTCAAACTGAAGATAGAACTGTATGATTATTCAAGATGGCATAACTAACAACACCTTTACAAAAGGGAGGTAACTCTTGTGCAATTACTCGAGAACAAACGATGTAAATGTCGAGGGAAAGTAAAAACTGTGTAAATATAATCTAGAAAAGATTAAGATTGCCAATTCTACCAAAGGGAGGTGAATATTGTTTGAAAATCAGAACAAAGGAGATTCTTATCAAGGGGAGGTAACGATTGAATGAATTGTCACGAGGAGAGAACAAATGACAAACTTACTAAGGGAAGGGAACTATTGCATACGAAATCAGGAGAAAGTTAACGATAAATTTACCAAGGGAAAGTAAAAGTTGTATAAATAATCCAAAGGAGAAAACACAATCAATCTTAGGGGTCCTAGGGCTGCTTTTATTTTTTATTAGCTACTAAAAATATGATGTGGCTACTAAATTGACTACTAAAATGTGCTAGTATTTTAAAAATGGGGGAAATCTGTATCTTTGTCCCAGAAAACGATCGTCTACTCATGATCACTTGTGTGTGGCTCACGCTGATTGTATAAACGCTATCAGGACCGTCACAGATCAGCGCAAGCTTTACGACTGCAACCTTATTCTTTTTTCTAAGTTGTAAAGTCAATTAACAAGCTTCATATGGCAACAGGTGTTATAATTGGTGTTGACAGTGGGGCCAAGTTAATTGGATGACCCATTGATGTTGAGAAAACAGTCTGATGAGCGAGTCACGCATATGGTCTGGCACACGTACGTTTGTCAGCGCCGTAAGCTGATCTGATCACCTTGTTCAAACACCGCATTTGAATTCGTGTACATGGTCTCCCTTGACCTGTTCCAGTACTGTAGGAAGCAAAAATATGTCTGATGTGCTTTATTAAGAAAGAAAGTATCGCCTTGAAACACAATGTTGAAGTGTCGATTTTCAGATCACTTCAAACAAGATATCGTATTTGTGTGCTTTCCTGGTTAGACGTTTTAGAATTTCAGGTGATCGAGAGAGAAGTTATTAGCATCGCAGTTTTGCAGTTTTTAGAACAGCAAACTGTTCAAAATGCCTTCGACGGTTGCTTATATTAAGTGCCATTCGACGACACGGGAATGGCCAAGTTGTGCTCCCGTTTCATTTCAAAGGGTTGGTCAATACCTTATAAATTCTTCTTTTTCCTTTTAAATGTGTGTAGAACATTTACATTTGAAATGTGTGGTCTTTTAAAAAAAAAAAATATATATAAAACATGAATTACGGTGAATGTAAGCTCAGGAAAAATAATTATCAATGTTGCATCACTGAGGCTACTTTTGATTTGGATTTTTGTTATTTATATTTTTAGATTGATGGCATGGAATAAGACTATCTAAGCCAACAATTTAAGGCGGATAATATCTTAAAATTAAAACTTTTCAATCTATATTTTTTTCAAAATTCCTGTGTCAAGAAAATGAGATCAAGTCTGATTTTTCTCTCTTTTGAAAAGAATTAAAAAAGTTCTGGTGGAAGTTTTCAGCATTTTAATTTTAAGTCATATTCTCTTATAATTACAGCCAATAATCTGAAAGTATTTAAAAAATTTAGGTTCAGGGTGAGCTCTGCCAAGGCAATAATAAAATAAATCATCAAAGGAAGATGATTGATGACATTTTTGAGAAGCAGAGGGTAACAATCGATTGTTTCAGAAATCATCATGCAGTAGCAAGCTTAAAATCTAAGGGATTATAAAGGTTTAACGACAATGACCTAATTGTTTGTGTTTACAGATCAGCTGATTGCTCAGGAGCAGGTTCTGGAACTGCTGCCCATGGTGTCCGAGGTAAATGCAGTGTCTGAAGAGCTGGACAAGAGAAAAACCTTTGAGGTTGTGTTAATATCGGCCGCGGCACAAGAAGGAGTTGCGTCAGTAACGGCGGCGGGACAGGAAGGAGTTGATGTCAATTCCAGCAATGGGACAAGGTATCAATATGAATGTTTTCAAAATTCACAGTACCAAAGTAAGATCAGATTATGGGGCAAGTGAGCCTATGTCATGGTGTGGCGTCCGTCGTCGTCCGTCAACTTTCCCTTTAAACGACTTCTTCTGAAGAACTAATAGGTATAGAATCTTCAAATGTGGGTGGTAGCTTCCCTGAGAAAGAGCCGGACAAAGTTTGCAAGTGAAAATGACCTTGACCTACTTTCAAGGTCACAGGGGTCAAACTTGTCAATCACTGAAACGACTTCTTCTGAAGAACTGAAAGGTATAGAATCTTTATATTTGGCTGGTAGCTTTCTGGGAAAGAGCCTGACAAAGTTTGCAAATGAAAATGATCTTGATCTTCTTTCAAGTACTGGCCTAAAGTCATGATACTTAGCTGAAAGCTTCATTCAAAAGAGCCTGACAAAGTATGAGAATAAAATGACTTTAAACCGACTTTCAAGGTCAGGGGGGTCAAATAGGTCTAAACCTTCAAACAACAATATACTAAGAACCATTTGGACTAGTTATGATGCTTGGGTATGTTATGAAGACCAGCAGTGCAGATCTTTTTCTTAATTACAGTAATGAGGTCAAAGGTTAACTTTAAATGCTAGCGGGTCAAAGGTCAACATGGGTTAAAAGCTTTAACAAACTTCATCTCAAGTTCCATAAGGCCCAGTGTCATGATATTTGGCAAATGGGTACCTGGGATGGAATATTCTTCATTAAAAAGACCTTGAACTACTTTCAATGTCTCAGGGGTCAAATATTTAAAAACCTTCAAACAACAATATCAAGAACCATTTGGACTAGAGTCATGATACTTGTGTATGTTATTTAGACCAGCTGTGTGAATCGTTTTCTTTATTACAGTAATGAGGTCAAAGGTCAACTTTAAGTGCTCAACATGGGTTAAAAGCTTTAAATTCAAATTTCAAATTTCAAACAATTATATCTAAAGAACCATTTAAGAGATGTTAGAATGTCTTGTGTTTTAGTTCCCAAATTTGGTCTGAAGTTACCTATATGTCAGTTTCATGTAACAAAAGAAACAGGTGAGCAATACAGGCCCTCTGGGCCTCTTGTATGTTTACCAAAGGCAGAAGAATTCTGTCAATTTTTTTCTTTTCTTTAAAGGTGCAAAAACAAACCATGCATTTAACTTCTCTGCTGTAATAAAATGTGCAATGAAATTCAGTTAATCATAGCTTTCATTTCCAGGAAATACACAACTGGTTTAAGATCCACATACCACTGCCAAAAACTGTAAATAAGTATTGGAAACTTTTTTCTAGCCTGACTATAGCTTTGATAAATCATTCCTGAAAAAGAAAACCATACCTAATGGGACTTTTAGGAAAAATAATTTAGATGGGGTAAAATAAACAAAATCTTCTTAATCACAGTGTTCTGAGGGGAAATCATCCAGCAGGGCTAGACCAGGGTTCGAACCCTGGACTTCAGATTGTTATACCATCGGTCTTAGCAATTGAGGTTCACAGTCGAAAAAAGCACAGTGCAGTGGGACAGTGATCCTGAATTGAAACTCTGGTATCTGGAAACTTAATTTGACGGAGACAATTTTAGGATAATATGAAAAAATACATGAACTTTATTTAATTGAGTGTCCGTTACTTACATGCTTGTTTGAGTCCATTGTTTATGCGGCTGTAATGAGCACTAGTAGTCAATAGGCGTATTATTACGTAGTGTAGTATAAATGTGTGAATAGCAAACACGCCGGCGTATCTTAGCCTTCTGGTAACGGTTTAAAAAAAATTTGAGATCAGAAGTTTGGTGATAGCTATTCAACTAACAGATAGGAATATAGAAAAATGTCCAACTTAAATATTTGAAACATGTGTGGTTGAACTGCTTTTAAGATAAGCTGTGGATGAAGGATAGGATAAAAAACCAAATACCATAAGTTTTCAAACTTAAATAGAAAAGGAGGATTGGGGAAGAGTGGCTCCCATAAAATTGATGAATATGATGGGATACAAAATAAACAAAACAAAATTGATAATGGAGAGTAATTAATAATATTCAAGAACAAGAGAGATGTGAGTATGCATACTGTGATGGTCATTTGAAAAATGCTGCATAAAATTTTTGAAGATTTTTTTAGAGAAAAATTTAATTCAATATTCCGGTACGTATTTTTCAGTTGGATACCAAGGCAAGTTGGTAAATTAAAGAAATATTGCTGTCCTGCAGCACCATAACCTTATGTGATATACAGCTGGAATTACTGGGTCTTTAAATAAGGGGAGACAATTGAAAACTTTAAGGGAGGTAATCGTCAAGTCCTCTTACTGGGATGGTAATCTAGAATCTGGAAGAACTTTTTAAGGGGTGATAATTTGGAATTATTTTCCAAGGGGATGTTATTTTGAAGCTCCTTTTCACAGGAAATAATGTAAAAGGTTTTTTTAAGGGGGAGCAATCTGGAAATCCTTTTAAGGGGGTGGGGGGTTAATTTGGAAGCCCTCTTTAAGGGGAGGTAATCATCATGACCTATGAATATTCAGCTGTATAATCAGTTTTTGTCTGTAACTCTCACTAAGACCATTGTCAACAAGATGTGTTTATATCACTTGTCTTTTGTCACAAATCTATTATCATTTGTCTAAGTATTGTGTTACAAAAAAGCAAGAGTTGAGACAGAAACTTATTTGAAGAATTAACATGTAAGTTGTATAATTTTGATTGGCTTGATTTTTTGTGATCATAGTGTAAAATTATAACCACAGCTTCACTGACTTTACGTTTAACACTTCATACACATATTTGATAGTTTGTGTGAATTGTGTTAATTAATTTTGTCCATGTGTTGCACTTTAACCACTCAGGGGAATGTGTCTAATTTCTCATTTTTCACACACAAATTAAAATATACTTACACCAGAACCAGGAACAGATCCTGTCTTTCACTACCTTATGTTGGGAAAAAATCTGTCTTTAACTCATTCACCCCTGAGGACACATTTGAACTCTTCCAGTTCAAAGGTTGGAAAAGTTCATTATGAATTTCAGGGGTGAATGAGCTAAAGATGGTCTTTCAGACCCTCAAAATCCAAGATCAGTCCATTCTGAGGTACCTGGAAGTAGGTTTACTGTGGTGAAGCTTTGACCAGGATGTCAAAAAGTGGCTTTATAATGAAAGGATCATGGTTATATGAAGCAGCAAAAATCTTTCGTTGTAATTTGATTATGGATTTTAATAAAAAAAAAATGAGTATATATGCGTCTTGTTTCCAGATATGATGAAGGATCGGCCGTGAGGTAAACCAGTGTACTTATGTTAGAATCTCTGGGAAAATTCTTTTGTAGCCGTAGAGAACTCATTGGTTTTTTTTATATTTGTTTGTGTAAAACAAAACCGTTCAAAGCATGGTTTGTTAATTTTTGATNCCCCCCCCCCGTACACATCATATTAAATATAAAGATACATATAAATTCAGCACAACACATTTAAGATGTATAGTTCATATCTTATGTGTCAGTGTGAGCCGGTATATTAAAGTATCTTGGGATATCGAGATTTTGGGTTTTGTTTAACTCATTCAACCCTGAAGACACAATTAAACTCATCAAATTCAATGTTTGGAATAATTCATCATAAAAGTTCAGGGGTGAATGAGTCAATAAGTATCAATTGTTAAGTTAACCAGACTTTGAACGGCCATGCTACATGTGGATTTGTCAAGTAGTGTGCTACTCGTAACCTTATGTTCAGTTTGACAGCCAATGTTGGTTTTCTATTTTTTCGTTAGGCTGTGTACCTACGCTGATGCAGGCTTGACAAATTGTAAAACAATGTTTTCACATTTTTTTATAAAGAAGAACTTTGAAATACAGCTTTAGTTAGTTGTAATAAACATGAGTTCGAAGGACAAGAAACTCATCATGATACTTTAGTCATATTTCTCATCATTTGTACTCAGTAATCATTATCATTTTTATCAAAACTTAATTGTCTCTCTTCAGTGTGCTGTTTGAGTTTCATCTCAACCTTTTGTTTCACTGTCTACATTATGTGTGCTCTGTCTATATAGACTCCATATCTGTCTATTTAAGAGAAAAGGGTGCTAGAATGACCAGTCCATATCAACAAAATAGCAATAGATCTATGCTATAGTTTTAAAATACATATGAATATTTCATTGAATCAAATTTTGTTTTAAAAAACGTATTTGATTATGCATCCAAAATGTTTCAAAAGTCTTTTTTTAAACAGTTTATCTCAATTTTCATCAGTATATTTTTCAACAAAGTCTGTATGAAAACTGAAAACCCCCTCAATGGAATAGCTAGAACTACAGGTATGATTTGTATGATATGACATTAACAATTGCTGAAAAAAAAATGAAAGTGTTTAGAAGACAGATAAATTAGGCAATGGACTTTATCCAAAATCTATATGCAGAAAATGCTTATTTCTAGATTAAGACTCTTTAAAAAAAAATGAGAAAAAAATGAGAGAAAAAAATTGTAAATAAAGGGAGATTATCCTATTATTGTCCTTGGGCTTTTCAGTGGTACACTGGATTTATGTTGCATTTGGTTGGTAACTTACCTGGCAGATAGGGTGAGTGTTGTGACTCTGACCTGTGACCCTGTTAGAACAGATCTAGTCCATGTTAAAACTTGGTAGTGTTAATTAGTCACGGTAGTTGGGACAAAATATTTAATTTTTCTTATTTTATTTTCTGTTTGTAGGGTTATGGTGAAAATGACCAACTTGCTCAATAGTAATACCTGGCTATGGCAGCGTGGTAAATTCCTCAACAGAAGATATCTCATACAGGTAAAAAAACACCTGAAAAGTGTTTGATTTATGTATAATGAGATAATTGCTAGCTTACACATCATACCTCTGGTTTGTGTTGAGTTATCTCCCTTCATTATTACTGTGCATTATTACCGCACAGGACTATAGGTTAGAATGTCATCCATCAGTCGGGTAGTCTTTGCACGACTTTTTCCATAGCTATAAAACTCCGCCGTATATCTAGGATGACATATCACTTATTCAATTCAAGTTTCATGCCACAGTATATTCAGAGTTATGGCCCTTTGTTTACTGAGAATCACTTCGTCCAATGATATCTCAAATAATCTGTCACCTGGAAATGCTAAATTTTGCATGTGAGTGTACATCTAGGGATTGTAGAATGTTGTGTATCAAAATTAAATCTTGTCTGCTAGTACATACAGATTTATGGCCCTTTGTTCACTGTTGTCTGGGGTATATCTTCTACTCAACCAGTAACAGCCACTACATTTTTATGAGAGTCCCTTTTCGGAAAGCGTAGTATTGTGTCCAACTATGTAATATTATTATGACCCTATGTACATTTTGATACTAATTTTTTCTGCAAGTAGGGGACTAAAAATTGCTTGCCTTATATTAAACTGCCATGTTAAAATTTAAAAATTCAAACTGTATAAATAAAACGCCTTCTTCCTCAATCTGAGTAGGATCTGTACCAGCGGTTCCTGGACGGAGATGATCTATCCAAGGTTTCCAAGGAAGAGGATCCTTTCTGGGAGCCTCCTGAGGAAGTTCTCATAGGAACAGCCAATGCATTCCTCCAGTCCCTGTCCTACGCCCTGGACTTTGAGGATCAGCTCATGATCACGGACTACAAAGGCCAGGAGGAGGGAACTCTAGATGTTACCGTGGCACCGTGTGATGCCAAGGGGAAAACGTCTGACGATGAAACCTTCGTGGAGAATCCGAACGAACTGCTCAACAAACCTTTTTATTTCAAGGTGCATTTGAACCCGATTACTGTGATGAAATGTCAATCCTGTAGTTAGTGACTGGGAATATGAACAAATCTGAATATACAAGGAGGTGTTTTATATATTCAAGTACAAATTTATAGAAATTATCTGTAAATTATCTGTAAATTATCTGTAAATTGAAATTAAAAAAAAAATCCATCTTCAGTGATCCTTCCTAATCTTAATTGCATTGTATTGGTCAAGTATTTACTCATCCTCGATACTCCAGGAGTTACACTCACTTTCCCTTTCTGCATCCCTGAAATGTGTCATAGCAAAATGGAAGGCCACAACTAGCTCTCTCATTGCTCTTAGTTTAAAATAAACCTGACAAACCGCCAGGCTGATACCTGTCCTAGATTACAGAGCAACACCTGACTTCAAAGCCAGTCAATTTTACCGTTACATGACTGAAAGATATTTTATGTACATCAAAGGATCAAACTAGTTTCCTTGTCCCAACTACAAGGTGGCGCACATCGAGCCTTCAATTTTGCTATGACCTTTTCCAGGGGTGTAGAGAGCGAAAGGGAGTGTAACCCCTGGATATCGAGGACCGTATCGATACAACAGATGTTCATAAAAGTGACATGTATTATACTTTAACCTACTTGGCGTTGACCTTAGAGAATGAAATAATGTAGCCTAAGTATGTATAGCTATAGATATTTTCTCCAACAAACATATAAAACTTCCACAATTACTATCACCAGGTTGGGGTGTCCTATTCCCGTATTTTAAAGAGCAGTAAATTGAGCTGACCATTATCACCCAACCAATCAGAATTTCGGAGCCTGTGATTATGGACAGGTTTAGCTGACTATTACAGGATGTCCTTAAAGCCAGGTGTCAGTAAAGTCAGGTTTCCTTGTAGCTCACATGCTGATTTTTCTCTCTCTCATTTTTACAGGTGTTTGTGAGAAAAGCTGAAATTAACAAATCCAGATTTTCAAAAGGAGTTCGTGTGCAATTTTCCATGCCATTTTCAAACAAGAAGGAGCCAGAAAACGTGCAAACACCGATTATTAAAAACTCATTAAGTCCTGAATTCAACTTTTCAAAGGTTTTGTCTGTGAACAAAGTGCAGAAAAAACATTTAGATTTCTTTGAACTTGGGTCTTTGACTTTCTATGTGTATGGTTTACAAGAGGATACTCTACCCGAACCCAACCTGTCCAAACTAACGACAAAGGTAAGTCACTATAAGGTCATCGAGAGGACAATGTGAATAGATGCTCTTTATTCTGCAAGTTGAAATGCTTAAGTAAAAAAATAAGTTTTGTGTGATTCCATGTTTGCAAGATGCTAGCCTCAAAATCGGTATTTTATACACTAGAAAAAGATATAGAAATCAATTTCACCATTTCACGTTCATTTCACAGTTTAAATGTATTAAAAAAGTGTTCTTGAATATGGCAATAGAAAAGTGTGATTTTTATCGTGTCATAATCAGATTTCACTTCAGAGGATAGCCTATTATTTATTAATAAATTTGACGTTAGATATAGATAATGAAATAATTCTGTATAAGAACGTTCTACAAAAATCTTGACAGAAAAGTTTCAACAGAATTATGTGAAAAGTATTTTTATCAAATTAAATTTAACATGGACTTTTGTTCTTAATAAGAGTTATTTTACTTCAATAGATCTTTTAAATTGATGATTCAGCTCAATTAATCAGAATCTGTTTTGATACACAGGAATTAAGGCAAAGAAACAATATGAAAGAGAACGCTGACACGGGGGTACGCAGAAAGACATTGTTTGGTAACGACATCGCCTCAGACCAGTCCCACCTGAAGGCCGAGGTTGTGTTATTACAGCGGAAACATGAAAGACTTGTACAGAAGGAAAGACGCATTCAGGTATGGTGTCCTACTACTACCAGTATATTTAACATCAGCATTTCAAAACTGGATCATTCTGATTCCGATTGCTGATTGTTCGAAGGGAAACAAGAGATCTTTTATGAGCTAACAATAAGCTAGCTATTTCCTGGTAAAACATAAAAAGAGTCAAAAGTTGTTGTATTTAGACCTGAATTTATTTTAAATTTTAAAATAAAAACCAATTCAAGTCATTGAAAACTAGCGACTTTTTGTCCAAGAAACACTAAAAACAGTTTAAGGTATCTGCATATTAAGATACAAATCACATTTTTATGTACCTCTGAAAAAATAGACCGATTTCACATGTATGGTAAAGTCTTCTAAAGTTACATAGGAGTGAAAGGGTTAAGTATAAATCTAGATTTTTTTTCTATTTACAGGAAATCTGTAAGGAGTGGGAAAAGAAACAGGAGGCAGAGCGACAGTTTGAACCATTCTACCGGGCCGTGTCAGCGGCCGCGTTCAGCACAGGGACAAGGCTCAAGACACGAGTTCAGATGCTCAACCAGGTCAGTCTTTGTACTTTACAACACCATACACATTAACTTGTCATTGTAAGGAGCATAGTTACCATAATATATTTTCGTCTGGCAATGTTTTTGATTGAGTTGATGTTAGTTAAAATTTATGAATGATTGTGAATGTATTAAGATTTTCAGTGATATATAATAAAAAGAGGAAATTTTTAAATTATTGAAAAAAAATCCAGTTTCCTGTGCCTAATGTAATGCATTTATGGTCATGTGTAAATTGATATTTTGTTTTCAGGAAGTCAATTTCAGGGTTACGAAAGTGACACAATTACCAGACAAGTTAATTGCTTCAATTTCAGCTGTTTACTTTCATGCATGATGGCATTTTTACCTGTAATGTACAAAAATTAGAACAGCCTATTCACTGTTGTCTAACATCTAACTTATGATTCTGATGAACTGTTTTTATGACCTATGTAATTACCCCAGCTATACTGACCCAAAGTATCAAGTGAGTCTGTATGTTGATATATTTTTGTTGTGTAACAGTTTCAATTTTCAGATGAAGGACTATGTATATATTTTAAGGGTTATAAAAGAAAATCAAGTACTTATAAGTCACTAGAAATATGCAACAAACAATTACCTCATCGTTAAAAGTAGATAATTTTACGTTATTCGATTACATATTTCTTTCCGAAAGTTAATGAAGAGTTTAATTTATTAAACCAAACTTGTGCTTTAAACTTCACTTCACAAAATTCTTCCTCACTTTACTATTTCTCCTGTCTACAACTGTCTTATTAACTCATTTACCCCTGAAGTCACATTTAAATTCTGCCAATATAAAGATGGAACAGTTCATTATGAATTTTCAGGGGTGAGTGAGTTAAGTGGTCTAGTTGGATTGGACCATTCATTTGGGAAATTCATTCGAAAAAGATATAAGTTTTCCTATAAAAAATTCTTCCACTTCTTCCTCTGTACCTGTATGCCTTCCTCTGTACCTGTATGACTTCCTCTGAACCCGTATGCCTTCCTCTGTACCTGTATGACTTCCTCTGTACCTGTATGACTTCCTCTGTCCCTGTATGACTCTCTCTGTTCCTGTATGCCTTCCTCTGTACATGTATGACTTCCTCTGAACCGGTATGCCTTCCTCTGTACCTGAATGACTCTCTCTGTACCTGGATGACTTCCTCTGTACCTGAATGACTCCCTTTGTACGTGTATGACTTCCTCTGTACATGTATGACTTCCTCTGTACTTGTATGACTTCCTCTGTACTTGTATGCCTTTCTCTGTACCTGTATGACTTACTCTGAACCCGTATGCCTTCCTCTGTAGCTGTATGACTTCCTCTGTACTTGTATGCCTCTCTCTGTACCTGTATGTCTTCCTCTGTCCCTGTATGCCTTCCTATGTACGTGTATGCCTTCCTACGTACAGCATCTGAATGCCTTCCTATGTAACTGTATGCCTTCCTATGTACCTTTAGGCCTTCCTATGTACAGTATCTGAATGCCTTCCTCTGTACCTGTATGACTTCCTCTGTACTTGTATGACTCTCTCTGTACCTGTATGACTCTCTCTGTACCTGTATGACTTCCTCTGTACCTGTATGCCTTCCTCTCTACCTGTATGACTTCCTCTGTACCTGTATGCCTTCCTATGTACCTGTATGCCTTCCTATATACCTGTATGACTTCCTCTGTACCTGTATGACGTCCTCTGTACCTGTATGACTCTCTCTGTACCTGTATGACTTCCTCTGTACCTGTATGACTTCCTCTGTACTTGTATGACTCTCTCTGTACCTGTATGACTCTCTCTGTACCTGTTCCTATGTACCTGTATGCCTTCCTATGTACGTGTATGACTTCCTCTGTACCTGTATGACTTCCTCTGTTCCTGTATGCCTTCCTCTGTACCTGTATGACTCCCTGTATGACTTCCTCTGTACCTGTATGCCTTCCTCTCTACCTGTATGACTTCCTCTGTACCTGTGTGCCTTCCTATGTACCTGTATGCCTTCCTATGTACAGTATCTGAATGCCTTCCTATGTACCTGTATGCCTTCCTATACACCTGTATGACTTCCTCTGTACCTGTATGACTCTCTCTGTACCTGTATGTCTTCCTCTGTACCTGTATGACTTCCTCTGTACTTGTATGACTCCCTCTGTACCTGTATGACTCTCTCTGTACCTGTTCCTATGTACCTGTATGCCTTCCTATGTACCTCTATGCCTTCCTTTGTACCTGTATGTCTTCCTCTGTACCTGTATGACTTCCTCTGTACTTGTATGACTCTCTCTGTACCTGTATGACTCTCTCTGTACCAGTATGACTTCCTCTGTACCTGTATGCCTTCCTATGTGCCTGTATGCCTTCCTATATACCTGTATGACTTCCTCTGTGCCTGTATGACGTCCTCTGTACCTGTATGACTCTCTCTGTACCTGTATGACTCCCTCTGTACCTGTATGACTTCCTCTGGACCTGTATGCCTTCCTCTGTACCTGTATGACTTCATCTGTACCTGTATGCCTTCCTCTGTACCTGTATGCCTTCCTCTCTACCTGTATGACTTCCTCTGTACCTGTATGCGTCGTGTTTAAGATTGGTTAATTTCCTTCTCTTAAAATCTTTGATCCTATGTACCTGTATGCCTTCCTATGTACCTCTATGCCTTCCTTTGTACCTGTATGTCTTCCTCTGTACCTGTATGACTTCCTCTGTACTTGTATGACTCTCTCTGTACCTGTATGACTCTCTCTGTACCTGTATGACTCCCTCTGTACCTGTATGACTTCCTCTGGACCTGTATGCCTTCCTCTGTACCTGTATGACTCTGTATGCCTTCCTATGTACAGTATCTGAATGCCTTCCTATGTACCTGTATGCCTTCCTATGACCTGTATGACTTCCTCTGTACCTGTATGACTTCCTCTGTTCCTGTATGCCTTCCTCTGTACCTGTATGACTTCCTCTGTACTTGTATGACTTCCTCTGTACCTGTATGACTTCCTCTGTTCCTGTATGCCTTCCTCTGTACCTGTATGACTCCCTTTGTACCTATATGACTTCCTCTGTACCTGTATGCCTTCCTCTCTACCTGTATGACTTCCTCTGTACCTGTGTGCCTTCCTATGTACCTGTATGCCTTCCTATGTACAGTATCTTAATGCCTTCCTCTGTACCTGTATGCCTTCCTATCTACCTGTATGCCTTCCTATGTACCTGTATGCCTTCCCATGTACCTGTATGCCTTCCTATGTACCTGTATGACTTCCTATGTACAGTATCTGAATGCCTTCCTATGTACCTGTATGCCTTCCTATGACCTGTATGACTTCCTCTGTACCTGTATGACTTCCTCTGTACTTGTATGACTCCCTCTGTACCTGTATGACTCTCTCTGTACCTGTATGTCTTCCTCTGTACCTGTATGACTTCCTCTGTACTTGTATGACTCTCTCTGTACCTGTATGACTCTCTCTGTACCTGTATGACTTCCTCTGTACCTGTATGCGTCTTGTTTAAGATTGGTTAATTTCCTTCTCTTAAAATCTTTGATATTTAAACATTTCTTGGCAATTAAAATCCAGATAACATATATATTAATATCACTCAGTTCTAATCAATTAAAATTTGTTTAAAATTTCCATTAGTTTTGAGGTTTACCTAAAAAGTCTATGTAATGATGCTCTATTGGAAAAAAAATATTTGCGGGTACACTAATTCATGGATTACTAGTACCCACTCAGGTGGAGAATTGCTTTATATCACACTTGTTATTACTTCGTTGACCTGTGAATTCATGGATATAGGTTTTCCTACGAAATTAAGGAAATCTAAAATCCCACGAAAATCAGTGATTTTACATTATGGAGCAAATTAGATTAAAATTTTCAAATTTAAAAGTATTATTAAAAAAAAAAGGGTATTTTAAAATCAAACAATGTTAGAGTATGATATTGTAACAGGATATATATTTCTATTGTTTGAATTTGAATGCTAATTCATTTCAGATGTTACGGTTACAAAAAGCAACTAGAAAGGATGAATCTAGCGTTCCCTCGCAATTAAACTCCCCCGTGGTGCCCCCCGTAAGGCGTTGTCTGTAGATGTCATACCTAACCTGTCAACGTTAATTGTGCATGTTTTTGACTCTTTTTTTTCCCGTCTGTCTGTGAAATGCAAACATTTAAATCCTCAATATTGAAGTAATGGACTAAAGAAAAATATTTTGTAATATTCATTTGTACCTATCTGCTATTTCATATGACATAAAAAAAACAATGGAACTGAAGTCATATTGGAATACTTTGGGTGTCAGCTAAGATTTCAAAACTGTCAGTTTGTCAGATACTTGCTGTATGTAACTGAATAATAGGTAAGAAATCAGTTCTAGTTAATTTCTTGTCTGATTGTCCTCTCAAGGTATGGGTGACAGAATTACCTTCATGTTATTCCTAACAGAATTGTCCTTTAAATAATTGCTGACAAATTTTCTCTCAGACCTGTTGTTTTGAAAGGACAAATTACTCCCTTAAGTTATTTGCCAAGAGGAGTGCTATCGAAGCTATTTGCTGAAACAAGTGGCATCAAAGGTATTTCACATGATTGCTCTAAAGACGCTTGGTAACAGGATTGCCATCTAAGCTTTTGCTGATAGAAATGTCCCCTAAGTTATCGCTAAAAGGATTGCTGATAAACTATTGCTGACAGAATTAACCTAAAAAGCGTTTGCCGACAAGGTTGTAGGTGCTTTAGCAAAATGAACGGAATTTTAGTTTTTATCTCAAGGATGTAATACTTGCATTGTTACAGCTGCAACAAGCTTCAATAATTTGCAGCTTTACTTTAACACTTTAAAAACTGATTTCATTTTCAATGAAATTTTCTCTTTACTTTGTATGAATTCTGATTGGTTATTTTTTTCACCCAAAGTGTCCCAACAAATGAAGGTTCCATGAAAAAACTATTATTTTATTGATCAATGCATTTCACAAACAGCAACTGTTTTGTTTTTACTGAAGCTATTTCACATCTCATGGTATATAACGCTTGTATTTAAACATTTTGTTTGTTTTTGTTTTGTTTACATAAACTCTCCTGAAGTGATAGGGCATAACATTGCTAAAGTATGGAATGATTGTCAATCATAGCATGACATTTAACAGTACTGTATTGTGTAAACTCTCGGTTTGATAATAGCATGTTGTTACTTAAAGTATTGAATGGGAATGTGATCATCCGAAAGTTAAAAGAATGATACTTCATTTTGTGTATTGAACCTATATTTTAGTTTGTTTGATTGTCCATCAATTTAAAAACTAACTATTTTTTGTGCATTATTCACCCAGTATTTTTCAGGATTGTTTTTACTGATTTTTTTATCATTATGAATATTTTTAGAAAAGAAATGTACAAAATGCTGAATCCTTTGATTTTGAATTCATATACGTACATACTTAAATTAGTAAAAGTGATATTTCTTTTTCAGTCTGATTTTCACTTCTTTGTTTTACAACTTGATATTTTATCTGATTCTTGGCACATTTCATACTTGACCTCCTTCTAAAGCACACTGTCGAGTTTGTTTTTGAAACTTTTGACTGTTAGTATCTTCAGTATAGGGGTGGATAAGTAACATGGAATCAGATTAAGCCTCAATTTAATAACAATAAAAACAATCTAAAAAGGAAAATCAAATTTATTTTAGATGTCTGAATGGTTATGATACATTTTATCAGATTTGTTTGTGACTTTAATATTTTATATTTACACTGTAGATTATTACAAATTATATTTTCATATATACTTATAAGCATGAGCATCAAAGTATAACATAATCATATATGATTATGTACAGTCAAACTTGTTATGCACATCTTAAAATTAATTGGAATTAAAAACATCTTTGAAGAAAAATTGGATGATTAGTATACTCTATCAGTAAAGAGTTATTCCCCTTTAGTAACATTTGATGAAGCATTAAGTTTTGAAATTATATTTATTGAGTTATTAAAATGTGACCAAAAACAAATCGTTTTTCATAGAGATAATAATCTTAATACTGTATTGAGACTGGAATTACTTTTAAAAGAATTGGTAAAGCTTCTGTTTCAATGAATCAAAAACTGATAATTTCCTAGGTATAAAACCTTGCATTGACTTGATAGCATACATAATTATTTATTTATTTGAAGTTGATTATCTAAATCATAAGGTGTTTCAACTTAAGAGCTCTTTTTTAATTGAAGATGCATTTTGTGGTAAGATAGCATATAGTCTTAATGAGTGTTTTGAGTTCAGAAATAATAAGATTTGACTGTACATGTATCATTATGTGATCCAGTCATCGTAATATATATAGCCGCCTCTTTATGGTATCTTCAGTTGCTGATACATGTTTTTGTTATATGATTATAGTTTTGTGAAGTTTTGTTTCTCATTATTTTGTGTGATCATGGTTGACTTCCGTTTTAGATCCTTCGGGCAGGTGCTGCTCCAGGCAGTATATCTCGGCAGAAAACCATGGATCCCTCCATCGTATGTCCCTCGAGAGTTTTACCTCAATCTTGTGTTGCTTCTACTCAGTATATATGCACTATAACCACCAATATCGTNCCACCCCCCACCCCCACCCCCAAAAAAGGAAGGGGGGATTGAAAGTACAATTCCAGAATTAAAACTGATTGTTGTGGAATTTCATTATTAACACTTCTATGAATGTCTAGCCACCCTTTTTTCCATGCTGGGGGTTCATGGTGATTGTAACGCTTTAACTGGATTAAACTGGTGAATTTGTGATTTTGGGAGGGGATGATTTTCATTTTATTTTCAATCTATTTTTTTATATTAAAAAGAATTTTATTTATAATTTCAAAATAAGCTTTTTCCTGCATTGTCAGTTTTGTCTTTTTTCACAGACAATATTATTTTTTTTGTTGCTTTTTGAACGAGGAATATAAAATCTAGCTAATCTGAGTGATTTTTCTCCCTACTGATACACTAAGCACTCGGCCTACCCAGAGGTTCAGTTTCCGGTATGGCTGACGTAGCAAGACAGGACACCAGATTTCTCCTGCATTTATATATATTTGCCATTAATTTTAATGTGTCTTTAATTGATGCCACTAATAAATTACTGCCTGTAGACAAGATTTTCATTCTCAAAGGTGGGTGCGGAGCCGGTTTGAGTCCGATCATGGAATACCTGTTTGCTTATAGACGCCTGTGTGGCACTGCCGCACCCAAAAACTCCTTGCTTTGGTCGGGTTTGCTTACTAGATAAGAATTCATTCGTAATTTTCTTGTTTTTTTCACTGTCGTCCTGTTGGAAAATTATTCCAATGTTCTCATTATTTTCACCAATTTTCCAATAGTTGAAATTGACACTTTTTTTACCCAGAGAAACCATTAACTATTTTTAACCGTTAGTTAGAGATATCCAGGTATCAATTAAACTTTACACATTTTACGCTATCCCAAAGAATCTTTACCCCATCCCAGCTTTGTGTATTTAAAATTTAGAGAGGTTAACGCTGTTTTTGGTGAGTGAATCTTACATACTCCATAGAGTAGAATACTAGCTACTCTACTCAGTGTACAAGTCTTCAAAATAAATTTTAAAAACTAAAATAATGGAAAAAAAGATGAAACAGAATACTATGTTTTAAGACGCAGGCTGAACAGGATGAAAAGGATATTGACTTCCATCACTCTGACGATATACTGGTGTTCTTTTCAAGTCGGAATATTAATCCTTGAAACTACGTTGTTGAAGAATGGGAATTTGTTTTTGCCCTTAAAAATAAAATAAGCACAGAGTTGCAAATGTTGTGTCAGATACTGTAAATTGGGTGAATTCCAGGTCTAAGCGCTAAAAAATAGGTTTTCAAAATCTGTCGGATGTTAACTGTAAAATAAGGTGTATTCTAGATCCAATGGCAATAACCTAATCAGTATACAAAATCTGTTAAACATTTAATCTAATGTAAGCAAGGGACATGGGTGAATTTTGAATTCAAGGGCAAGAACAATATGACAAATGGTCAGTTCTTCAGAACCACATCGAAAACAGTGGATTTTCAATAACAGGCTATTTCAGATATGATGTAAATGTTACCAGAACCTCCACCGTAGCCTGTGTTTTTAAGAATGCACTACCAGAATTAGTTCATTGTATTGCCAAATTAGTTTATTGTATTACCAAAATTAGTTTATTGTATTGCTGAAAATAAGTTCATTGTATTGCCGAAAATTAGTTTATTAAATTACCAGAATTAGTTTATTGTATTGCCAAAATTAGTTCATTGTATTACGAAATTAGTTTATTGTATTACGAAATTAATTAATTGTATTGCTGAAAATTAGTTCATTGTATTGCCGAAAATTGGTTTATTAAATTACCAGAATTAGTTCATTGCATTGCTGAAATTAGTTTTGTTGTGTTGCCGAAATAAGTTCATTTAGTATTTCCGAAATTAGGTCACTCCGTTACCAGAGTTAGTTCATGGTATTGCCCAAATTGATTCATTGTATGACCAAAATAGGTTAATTGTATTACTGATATTAGTTCTCTCAATTACCAGAATGTTATTGCATTGCCAGAGTTAGTTCCTTGCATTACCAGAATAGTTTGTGATGTAAGTTTTGTGATGTAAGTTGTGAACAAGGAGACTATATTACTTGTATTTTACTACAACACAATTAAGTTCCAGCTATTTTTGATGATTGTACTTAACACCCTGAATCTGATACAAGTACAGTGTATTTAGATACAACGTGGCCTGAACTGTTCACTAGAACCCGTCCAAACAGATGTTGGACATATCCATTGCTGTTTGAGATATTTAACTAAAAGTAGTACCGATGAAATTAAATTATTAAACACTGGTAAGTATTTGACTGTATATATTCATTATTACGTAAACAAGGAAATCGTTGAGACGTCTTCAGTGTTTTTGTCAACATGTTTAACAGCCACAGTGTATTGCGTGGAAATTCTATTTTATCTTCTGTTGTATCTTTTCCCGTACAGGTGTTACAAGGTCAAAAATTTGTGCGCTCTTTGAAAACAGGCAGCAATGTAAGAACCATTCACATGTAGATATGCTACTGATGTCACCTAACCTCATGTATTACTAATGTAATCCTTCCCTTAGTTTAGTATACCCGGAGATATCTGTTCTGTCAACTTATTTCTATATTTATAATTAATATCTGCAGTATAGGTAGGCCTGGAAATATTGGTAAGAATGCAATAAAAGGATAATGTTTATGTTGTTTCAGCTTTCTGTTCTGTTGAAAATAATAAATGTTTTCCAACATAGACTTTTCTATGGGTACTTATATATAGCTGTTCATAAATAGGCTGTAACTGGTTACAAAATGTAGGTCAGTTCTTAGTGTAATCTGTTTCATTATGTAGTCTTTTAAATATATAGGCCATTCTATGGGTAATGAGGCCATTCTATGGGTAGGCTATTCTATCGATCCTGGCCCATTCTATAGAGAGGCTATTCAATTAAGCATAAGGCATTATATGGGTAGGCTGTTCTATGGATCATGAAGCATTCTATTGGTAGGCTGTTCTATGGATCATGAGGCATTCATGGGTAGGCTGGTCTAAGGATCATGAGGCATTCTATGGGTAGGCTGTTCTATGGATCATGTGGTCATTCTATGGGTAGGCTGTTCTATGGATCATGTGGTCAATCTATGGGTAGGCTGTTCTATGGATCATGTGGTCATTCTATGGGTAGACTGTTCTATGGATCATGAGGCAATTCTATGAGTAGGCTGTTCTATGGATCATGTGGCCATTCTATGGGTAGGCTGTTCTATGGATCATGAAGCTATTCTATGGGTAGGCTGTTCTTTGGTAGACTGTTCTATGGATCATGAGGTCATTCGATATTTAGACTGTTCTATGGATCATGTGGCCATTCTATGGATTGGTCATTCTATGGATCATTAGGCCATTCTATGGGTAGGCTGTTCTGTGAATCATTAGGACATTCACATATTCCATATCATCTATTCGTTATCTCTTTTATTATTTTAACCCCCTTTTTATTTTTAATTATCTACACATACAATGCAAATGCTTTTAAAATGAACCATTTTATCTGATTTTATTTTTGCTATTCACATGTTTGTTAAAAAAAAAAATCAAACAAAATTCACCATGGCCCTAAATGACCACAGCCGTCGATGGGCCGTTAAACATAAACAAACAAAGGACATTCTTTGGGTAGACTGTTCTGTGTATCATGTGGCCATTCTATGGGTAGGTCTTTCTATGGATCATGAGGCCATTTTATTGGTAGGCTATTCTTTGGATCCTGGCCCATTCTATAGGTAGGCTATTCAATGGACCATAAGGTGATTCTGTTGGTAGGCTATTCTATTGATCATGAGGCTATTCTATATTTAAAGTGTTAGGATTATGAGGCCATTCTATGGGTAGGCTGTTCTATGGATCATGAAGCCATTCTGTTGGTAGGCTGTGTTGTGGATCATTAGACCATTCTATGGGTAGGCTGTTCTATGGATCATTAGACCATTCTGTTGGTAGGCTGTTCTATGGCTGTTCTATGGATCATTAGACCATTCTGTTGGTAGGCTGTTCTGTGGATCATTAGACCATTCTGTTGGTAGGCTGTTCTGTGGATCATTAGACCATTCTGTTGGTAGGCTGTTTTATGGATCATTAGACCATTCTATGGGTAAGCTGTTCTTTGGATCATGTAGCCATTGTATGAGTAGGATTTTCTATGGAACGTAAGGGTATTCTATCGGAAAGCTGTTCCATGGGAAGTTTGTAAATCGGACCTCCTCAGTAGGTGTTTGATACCTGGTCTGTAAACCTGAGTCGTATGTATAAGCTATGTGAAGTGTGTAAACCTGAGTTGTATGTATAAGCTATGTGAAGTGTGTAAACCTGAGTCGTATGTATAAGCTATGTGAAGTGTGTAAACCTGAGTCGTATGTATAAGCTATGTGAAGTGTGTAAACCTGAGTCGTATGTATAAGCTATGTGAAGTGTGTAAACCTGAGTCGTATGTATAAGCTATGTGAAGTGTGTAAACCTGAGTCGTATGTATAAGCTATGTGAAGTGTGTAAACCTGAGTCGTATGTATAAGCTATGTGAAGTGTGTAAACCTGAGTCGTATGTATAAGCTATGTGAAGTGTGTAAACCTGAGTCGTATGTATAAGCTATGTGAAGTGTGTAAACCTGAGTCGTATGTATAAGCTATGTGAAGTGTGTAAACCTGAGTCGTATGTATAAGCTATGTGAAGTGTGTAAACCTGAGTCGTATGTATAAGCTATGTGAAGTGTGTAAACCTGAGTCGTATGTATAAGCTATGTGAAGTGTGTAAACCTGAGTCGTATGTATAAGCTATGTGAAGTGTGTAAACCTGAGTCGTATGTATAAGCTATGTGAAGTGTGTAAACCTGAGTCGTATGTATAAGCTATGTGAAGTGTGTAAACCTGAGTCGTATGTATAAGCTATGTGAAGTGTGTAAACCTGAGTCGTATGTATAAGCTATGTGAAGTGTGTAAACCTGAGTCGTATGTATAAGCTATGTGAAGTGTGTAAACCCTAGCCATTTCTTAAGTCGGCTGTTCTACACTTAATGTAGTAATTAGGGAAAAACTCTTAAATTCATAATTGACAATCTGAAATGTTTCTCCTGTTATGTATTTTTTTCTGATTTTTTTTTCTGTGTAAATAGAATCCACCTAGAAAGCAATGTATGACTCTACAGATAAGCATGGACAGATGATCACCAGGGCAAACTGGATTTAGTTCTCATGACACAGAGATTCAACCAGTTAAAGTGATAGACATACAAATGTACCAACAATTTAAGATATTCAGCATTAAAAAGCTGACATCTTGTCACCATTGTAGCTATTAGAACAACAAAAGTTGGACGGAACAGATACCACCTTTCTTAGATACTAACAGCTAATCTGGATCAAATGGGGTGTCATGATTTTTTTTTATGGCGATGGCTAAATTCACCAAAAAAAGTTGTAAATATTTTAGTGTTTGTTTGAAGCTATGTTGTCAAGAAATAAATTGTTAATTACTTTCAATTGACAATGCTTTAATAAAGAAAACTATAAATGTTTGGTTTCTATTGGACACCCATTCATTCCAGTGTATTTGTTAATCCTAACTTCCCACACTTCCATCCCCTATACCCTCTGTAGTTTATGCAAAGTGGTAATACTAATTGCTTTATACACCGTGGATATGTTAGCAGGCAATGGAACCTTACAAACTGTAGAATGTCCAGAAACAAAGTTGCATTTCACATTCATCTAACATTTGTATTGGAAGTTGATTTTGCAAATGTTTCAAAATACAAATATTTTTGCGTCAGTTTTTGCAGTAAGGAAATCTAAAGTCGGAATTAAAAAACGATAATGTCAGGATTGCTATTGCTTAATAAGTAGCACTAAGCATACGACGCCTAAGTATCTCAAAGCTACAAATTCAACACAGTTGTGCAGTATTCCATTGAACAAAATAAAATGTATGTACAGTATTAAATTTACACCAGCAACGATTGGTTATTTAACTGAACCAACTGTACATTGCTACATTCAGCATATTTTATATCAAAACATTCAATGTTGCTACTTTAACAGTTTAGATTTTGTAAGATTCCATTATATGCTAGTTTCCATGGCAATATGTCCCACATTTCTAAGTAGTGACATGCAGTCGGAGCATGCTGTACCGGAGGCTGTAACATCAAACCAGTGGCTTTGCTATCTCTAACGCTGTAACTCTGTAACCCTGTAACAAATGCATGCCTGAATTTTACCTTACAGGAAAACAACAAAGTAAACAGCAGCAAACAGGTTCATATCAATGACGATGACACAGTCAGTTTGTTTGTGTTCGGAGAGGAGGAGACTGAACTCGCTACTGAAGCTGAGAAAAATGCAGGCGTGGTTCCCTATTGCAAAGTGGCTAAGCATCACTATGCAGACTTACCTCTGCATAGCGGAAAATCTTACGTAAGCCCACGATACAGGTTCTGTCGCATGACGACACTCCTTGGTTACCGTCACCGTAGTAATGGTGTAGTGGAGTTGTGCACCATCACGATGTTGTTCCCCGGCTGCTGTGGCTGATATTGTATTACGCTGACTTTGTCGTTTTGATTTGTTTACGTATATCTCACGATGTTGTAGTGCTGCCACCTGTCAATCATGCTGTCGTAAACCAAGCTTCGTTGTGCATTATGTATGATTTTTGTATAGTGTGTGTATAGAATGTGCAAGCTCATTTCACCGTCTCATCTACAATAGCTTGCTCAGCAGTGTGTATACCATTGTTCCTTTCATAATGCTTTACCTATGTTATCTTCGTATCTATTTAATCCTCAGAAAAAATGTTACTCATTTTTTTCTCAAAACTCTATGGCTTTCGACCAAGTCTTAGCTTGTTATATCTGTACTTGTGGGGATAAATTCTTGAATTGTTTCAACTTTTCCCTCTTTCTAGTTGTCTGGATTCAGGACTTGCCTTTCCTATTTGGTCTTTTTGCTTTACATTAAGAGAACTTCGGCCTATCCTGAAACCTAAAGGAGGAATGTTAACATTTGGTTTCTCCACTTTCTGGACATTAGGTCTGTAATGCTGAGACCTGATTTATTTAATTGAAATGAAAATTGTTTTCTTTGTTGCAAATTTAAAGGTGGGGAGGTTGAGAGAAGGGAGGTTATGAAAATACTAGGAAACAGGCTTGTCAGGTTGTGAGACTGTAGTGACAGGCTTGTCAGGTTGCGAGACTGTAGTGACAGGCTTGTCAGGTTGTGAGACTGTAGTGACAGATATAAAGTGTATATACTACAGCTATATTTTATATTCTAAAATTATTTGTTAACCAGAGAGAGTCAGAATTGAGGGTGTTAAGTGGGAAATAGAGCACTTCTGAGTTAAATGTGGGTATAATTGGTAAATACTATGCCAGAAATATCATCTCGGACCCTGTTTTATCTGTCACTGATGCTATGGCAGTTGTGCAATGCCGGTTAAAATTATTTTGTGTGACAAAACTAATTTACATTGCATAATAAAGTAAAACCTCGATATAATGCCCCTCGTTTAATTTGCCACCTCACTTATATTTTACCGCCAACATATTTCCAGTTCCATTTTTTCTCTTTTTGTTAAAAATTCCTTTAGGTGTTTACTCATGTTTTTGCCAAACCCCTTTATAGCGCCAAAATTTCTCAGGAAAAATGGTGGCAGTGTAACAAAGTTTTACTGTCAATGTTTTAGGAGGATCATCATTGGTTTTGTTCATAAACAAAGTTGGCTGGCAATGTATTGGAATAGAAAAAAATAAGATACCATTACCTCAAGAAGACTTTCCATAGGTTTTCCAAATGGAATTTTGACTTCTTCGCGTTTACCAGTTTACTAAACGCGTTCTATGCGTTTAGTTTATGCAGTTTAAAAGGGTTATCATAGCAACTCTTGTGGTCTTTGTGGTCTTGGAAAATGTTCAACACCTAAGAAGAGCTTTTACTGTTACAAAACTAGGGTAGTGTGTTTGGACTGTGTCTGGCTTAATTACAGTAGTGTATTGTCCATCAAGACTAGCTTGACATCACTTCACCACTCACCATCCACTCAATCACACCTTTCACAAACAAACCCCAGGGGATCCAAGAACTCAGTTTAATATTAAAATATTATTTTTTTGTCCTAGCAGACATAATCAGTGTTTTTGTTGTTAGGAAGCATTTGCAGTAAGCATGTTTAATGTATTAAAGTTGAACTGTATCAGAGTATCTGTAAAACTGATATATTTGAGAATTGTAGGACAAATATATATCTGTCACTTATATTATAATTCACAGGAGGGGATCACTACACTCAGGATAAGGTCACAGTACATAGGAGGGGGTTGCTATATCCAGGACAGGGTCACTGTACACAGGAGGGGGTTGCTATATCCAGGACAGGGTCACTGTACACAGGAGGGGGTTGCTATATCCAGGACAGGGTCATTTAACACAGGGCAGACTCACTACTTAGGATAGGGATGCTTAATTCTCACTCAGAGGGGTCACTATAAAGAGTGAATCAACATATTCAGGAATGGGTTACTATACACAGGAAATCATTATACTCAGGGTCAGGTCACTATACACAGGATTGGGTCACTATACACAGGAAATCAGTATACTCAGAATTGGGTTATTATACACAGGAAATCATTATACTCAGGAATGGGTTACTATACACAGGAAATCACTACACACAGGATTAGGTTACTCTACACAGGAAATCATTATACTCAGGATTGGGTTACTATACACAGGAAATCACTACACATAGGATGGGGTCACTATAAAGAGTGAATCAACATATTCAGGATTGGGTTACTATACACAGGAAATCATTATACTCATGATTGGGTTACTATCCACAGGATTGGGTCACTATACACAGGAAATCATTATACTCAGGATTGGGTTACTATGCACAGGAAATCATTATACTCAGGAATGGGTTACTATACACAGGAAATCACTACACACAGGATTAGGTTACTCTACACAGGAAATCATTATACTCAGGATTGGGTTATTATACACAGGAAATCACTACACATAGGATTGGGTCACTATAAAGAGTGAATCAACATATTCAGGATTGGGTTACTATAAACAGGAAATAATTATACACAGGATTGGGTTACTATACACAGGAAATCATTATACTCAGGATTGGGTTACTATACACAGGATTGGGTCACTATACACAGGAAATCATTATACTCAGGATTGGGTTACTATACACAGGAAATCATTATACTCAGGAATGGGTTACTATACACAGGAAATCACTACACACAGGATTAGGTTACTCTACACAGGAAATCATTATACTCAGGATTGGGTTACTATACACAGGAAATCACTACACATAGGATTGGGTCACTATAAAGAGTGAATCAACATATTCAGGATTGGGTTACTATACACAGGAAATCATTATACACAGGATTGGGTTACTATACACAGGAAATCATTATACTCAGGATTGGGTTACTTTACACAGGAAATCATTATACTCAGGATTGGGTTACTTTACACAGGAAATCATTATACTCAGGATTGGGTTACTATACACAGGAAATCATTATACTCAGGAATGGGTTACTTTACACAGGAAATCATTATACTCAGGATTGGGTTACTATACACAGGAAATCATTATACTCAGGATTGGGTTACTTTACACAGGAAATCATTATACTCAGGATTGGGTTACTATACACAGGAAATCATTATACTCAGGATTGGGTTACTATACACAGGAAATCATTATACTCAGGAATGGGTTACTTTACACAGGAAATCATTATACTCAGGATTGGGTTACTATACACAGGAAATCATTATACTCAGGATTGGGTTACTTTACACAGGAAATCATTATACTCAGGATTGGGTTACTATACACAGGAAATCATTATACTCAGGATTGGGTTATCTTACACAGGAAATCATTATACTCAGGATTGGGTTACTATAAACAGGAAATCATTATACTCAGGATTGGGTAAACTATACACAGGAAATCATTATACTCAGGATTGGGTTACCTTACACAGGAAATCATTATATTCAGGATTGGGTTACTATACACAGGAAATCATTATACTCAGGAATGGGTTACTATACACAGGAAATCATTATACTCAGGATTGGGTTACTACTATACACAAGAAATAATTATATTCAGGATTGGGTTACTATACACAGGAGGGGTCGCTATACTTGGAATAGCATTGCTATGCACATTACGGGGTGGCTATACACGTCGTCAGTAGTCAGGCGTCCGTCCGTCAACTTTTTCTTTTGAACGTCTTTTCTGAAGAACTGTAGGACCTAGGGTCATGATATTTGGCCAGTAGGTACCTGGGATGAAGTGCTATAAAGTCTCCTCATTAAAATGACCTTGACCTACTTTCAAGGTCACAGCGGTCAAATATGTGAACATTTTCAAACAACAATATCCTAAGAACCATTTGAACTAGAGTCATGATACTTTGGTATGTTATGGAGACCAGCAGTGCGAATATTTTTCTCGGTACAGTTATGAGGTCAAAGGTCAACTTTAAATGCTAGTGGGGTGTTCAAATGTCAACTTTGGTTAAAATGTTTAACAATCTTCTTCTCAAGTTCCATAAGGCCCAGGGTCATGATATTTGGCCAGTAGGTACCTGGCATGGAGTGCTATAAAGTTTCCTCATTAAAATGACCTTGACCTACTTTCAAGGTCACAGGTCTCAAATAGGTTAAAAACTTCAAACAACAATATCCTAAGAAGCATTTGGTCTAGAGTCATGAAACTTTGGTATGTTATGTAGACCAGCAGTACAAATATTTTTCTAAATTACAGTTATGATGTCAAAGGTCAACTGTAAGTGCAAGTTGGGGTCAAAGGCTTTGACAATCTTCTTTTCAATTTCCATAAGGCTCAGGGTCGTGATATTTGGCCAGTAGGTACCTGGGATGAAGTGTTATAAATTTTCCTCATTAAAATGACCTTGACCTACTTCCAAGGTCACTGGTGTCAATTATGTTAAAAACTTCAAACAACAATATCCTAAGAACCATTTGGACTAGAGTCATGATACTTGGGTATGTTATGCAGACCAGCTGTGTGAATTGTTTTCTTTATTACAGTAATGAGGTCAAAGGTCAACTTTAAGTGCAAGTCGGAGGTCAAAGGTCAATATGAGTTAAAAGCTTTAAAATTAAAATTTCAAGTTTCAAACAGCAATATCTTCAGAACTGTTTAACAGATGTTAAAATGTCTTGTGTTCTAGTTACCAAATTTAGTCTTAAGTTACCTATATGTCAATTGCATGTAACAAAAGAAACAGGTGAGCGATACAGGCCCTCTGGGCCTCTTGTATTCAGGATAGGGTGCACTGGGCAATGGGGGCTCTCTTTACTCAGGATAGCCAGGGTACATACTGGAGGGGTTG